AGTCTATAATATATAACTAAACTACTGTTGTATGTAAAGTACATAAGGTTTTTAAAATGTTTAAGAAGCGTCATTTAAAATTAAATTAAAATGCAGAGCCCCCCGGACCAGTGGCCAGGACCCGGGCAGTGTGAGTGCCACTGAAAATCAGCTTGCGTGCCGCCTTCGGCACGCGTGCCATAGGTTGCCTACCCCTGTTCTAGAAGATCCACTCTAGCTCAGCCAGAAGATATGGGCTTGATGTGGTTTTTTGGCTTGGGTTATGCAGGAGGTCAGACTAGATGATCCTAATAATCCTGGCCTTTAAATCTACGAACTCCTAGCTAGATGCATAGATCTTGCAGTTGCAGACAGAAGTAGAAAACCCTAAGATAGCTATAATTACCAAATATTTCTCTGTGTGGAAGCCATAGTCTAGGAGCCTTCCACAGGAATATTGTAGTCCCCATTTGGTTAAAATCTCAAAATTGGTAGCATCTCACTGACCTCAACTGCAAAATTGACTAATAAAGAGAGAAATGGTCTTTAATACTAAATAAACAGTACTGCACATTTGATAGATATTGGCAAAAGGAACTATGGTCGTGTGGTTAAAGCACTTGGTGGGGATTCAGGTGATCTAGGTTTGAGTCTCTACTCTGCCACAGACTACCTATATGACCTTGGACAAGCTGTTTAATCTCTTCATGCCCAACATGCGGCGGTAGCAGGAGAAGCTCTCCCGCCGACATAGCGCTGTCCACACCAGCGCTTAGGTTGGTGTAACTTGTGTCACTCGGGGAGGGGGGTGACTTATTCACATCCCTGAGCGACATAAGTTATACCGACATAAGCGGTAGTGTAGACCTAGCCAGACACCTGCCATCTTGATAAATATACTACCAAGAGGGATAAAGTAGGCAATTCAGTCGAAGCAGCTGGCAGAACTTTTGCACTTGTTTGGAAAGCAGAGTGTGATGTGGTTTTCAAACAGAGTAAACATGGAGCTTAAATTAGTGGCAGCCTACGGCTACTAAACACAACTCATGGGCCTTGAAAAAAGCGTGTGTGTCTGGAAGCAGGAGGACTGCTTGTGGTATAGGCAATTTATATTCATCAGCAGTAACCAAATGGGAACTGGTGTTGATGGGTTGTCACTTCCTTCCTCCCTCCCCATGACAGATGGTGGCTATAACACAGGGCGCTGTTCAGGCTCCAGCAAGTACCCAGAGAACCCCACAGAAGATGGAATATTTCACAGCTCAAAAGCTTCCTTGACAAATAGAACTGCATTGACTATACACGTGGAAATTATTAGGTATCCTGAATCCCAGGCTGCTAGAGTGGCACCCTGTACTGATGGTTCCAAGCCATGGGTCTGTTTGGCAGTATTGAAGTATCAGGCTTTTGAAATTAATACCCTAGACCCCCTCTCCTAGCCCCAGCGCTGCCCATCCTTACGCTGCTCAGGAGCTTAGGTTACTTCAAACCCTTGTCTTGCCAGCAATGGGACGGGGAGCAATAAAAACTCCCCCTGTGGATCAGTGTGATCACAACAGAATGGGAGGCTGAGGGCATTATTTGGTGTATATAAGTTCTTGGCCTGGAAAACTAAACTCTACAGTTGAGCAAAAAGGTTGGCAGCTATTGCTGGAATTCAGATAGGGGCACCTTGGTGGAGACGTGTAAATGTACATTACAGAACCCTGGCTGAGATGGCGTCTCTGACTGTCATTGTCCTAGGCACATTATCCCTGAAAGAGAGGTTTTCTCTGAATCTGCAATTTTTCTAGACTTCAGTGTTATTGAAATAAAACTGCTTCAAGGATATCTCCATTCTTTCCCATCTTATGGATTCTCATTTCATGTAAATTATTTGGCCACTTTTCATTTTAATTCTTTACTGTCATTCTCTGCAAAAGAGATCATTTGGTTTCTTCGCGGAAGGTGTTCAGTGATTACTCGGCTGACAGCTGCCCTTTGTCTAGAAAGCAGAACGCCTTTGCAGGATTTAGTTGTGCCTGCTTAATCACTATTTTTCTTATATCTTCTAAGTTTGCTTCATGGCTTTTCTCCTGAAGTTTTAGGGAACTTCCAGTATTGTGAATGGAATATTGTGTTGTGGTTAGAGCTGTGAACTAGAATTCAGGATTCATGGGTTCTTTCCCTTTCTCTGGGGGAGTGTACTCTAATGATTAAAACAGGGAACCAGAAATGAGGACTCCTGGGTTCTTTTTGGTGCTGTGGCAGGGAGAGTGGATGGTGGTAACAACAGGGTGCTCCTGGAGTCTGTTCACAGCTCTGCCACTGACTTACTGTGTGGCCAGGGGCAAGTTCCTTAATGTCTTTGTCCCTCAGTTTTCCAATCTTTGAAATGTGTATTACCTACCTTACAGAGATACTGGGAGGCTTGTAGGGCTTTTCTACATGGCACCAGCAGCGAACTAGGGGGATGTGATTTCGAGAGTATTCTAATCTATTGGATTGTAACTGCTCCGTGTAGACCCTGCTGGCGCGCTCTGAAAAAGTACCTAGTGTGCGGTAACATAGTCCTTTTGCACCTTGTATGCAAGCCCTTAGTTGTTTTGTTTTGTAAGTGATCACCATTATTATGGCCAGCGGAGATTGGGGCCCCCAAAGAAGTGGAGAAGGGTGTAGATGTGGCCTACAACCATACAATATTTATAAACCACTTTAAGATCTTTGCATGAAAGGTGTTACAAGAGTGTAGGTTAGTATAGTGGGAGTGTGGGTTTTACAGTTAAGGTTGCATAAAATTTTCCATTCTAACCTGTTCTTCGTTGCTTGTAACTTTCTGAGATCTTCGTCTTTTAGACTGGAAAATTTCAGTCTGCTCTGCCCGGAGTAGCTGACAGAACTGTCCTGTCAAAGTATAAAAGCTGAATATGGTGGGGGAGAGGGAACATTGGGGACTGTGAATGTTGATGGGGGGAGCTGTCCAGGAGACTGGATGTGGAGGAAAATGTGAGTTGAGTTAATAGGAGGGGCAGGAATGGAATTGTACCAGGCTATTAGAGACTTGATGGGTGAGTGGGGGGAATTCAGATGCCGCATAGGGTTTGAGCTAGAAGGGGCTATGGACAGAGGGCGAGAGAAGTGATCTCTACTATTGCAAACCACCTGTGGTTATTGTGCCAGATCTGAGAGTGAATTTGTCCATTTAAGTGTGAAGCAGAGGGGTTCTAGTTCTGCTTTAAACTTAAATCTCCACAATCCTAACTGAGGAGTCACTCCTACCATCTCCTTAATGCCCCCCACCACCACGTTCTGTGCGTCCGCCATGAAACTTTGCTATTGGCATGTCATTTCATCATCATGTTGTGAAAAGGATTAGCTTGACCAACGGAGCCTGCTCCCAGTCATCACAAAATATTGAACATGAGTTCTGTTACGGGTAGCAAGCATTGTTCCCTTTCCAAGGCACTCGAGCCAGCCAGAGCATATGTTAGCCTGCAGCTTGTTCATAGTGCATTCAGTGTAGCACGTAGCTATATGCTGAATGAGAGGCTCATTAATGGCGTCTCCATTTTCTTCTCTTTATTAATTTGTCTCCCCGTTTCTCAGAGGCAGAGCTTCTCCTGCATTTTTACATCTGCTTTTGTTTGCGTTTCTTTAGTAAGCTTGGGCATCGTCCACCAGGTACAGGGTTGTGGATCATCTAGCCCGTACAGGAGTACGACATCAGGCTGTCACCTTACGATTTTAGTACATGACCGTTTCTCTCTCTCTCTCTCTCTCTCTCTCCATAGGGTTTGTTTTATGTATTGTAGATTTCTGGCAAGTATCTGTAAATGAAATAGAGTTTTCACAGGAAACCTAATACAGCTGTGTGGGGCAGATTTACAGAATTAAGCTTTGGGCTAGATTCCCAAGGGAGATTTAGGTACTTAACTGCCCCTTTAGGAACTAACGTCCAACATTTTGGCATCACTGGCATGCACAAACCACCCCCATTCAGCTGTCGCCTAACCCTGGAGGCATCTAAAGTCCCGTAGGCACCTAAATTTCTGCAGATGTACGTGCACACTGCCAACTAATTCCTGACACTGCCGAACAACTTGGCGCCTAGCTCATGCCTAAGCCCTGGTGGGTTTCTCAAAGTAGGCATTCCCCCACCTGTCTCACCTGATCCTGTAGGCATGCTCTGAGCATGCCCAATCCACGAGGAACAGGAAAGAGGATGGTGATAACATTGTCTCCCTTACACCCAATAGCCCAGTGGTTAGAGCACTCATCTGGGATGTGCGAGACCAAGGTTCAAATCCCCAATCCGTGTTGGAGCAGAGCCTTACGTAGACATTGGGCCGGAGAGAGTGACTATAGCCTAGTGGTTAGTGCATAGATTGCAGTCCCTTATACACCTCTACCCCGATATAACACTGTCCTCGGGAGCCAAAAAATCTTACCGTGTTATAGGGGAAACCGCGTTATATCGAACTTGCTTTGATCCGCCGGAGCGCGCAGCCCCACCCCCCCGGAGCACTGCTTTACCGCGTTATATCCGAATTCGTGTTATATCGGGGTAGAGGTGTACTTCAACAGGAAAGATTGAGAGAGCCCCACCCCGCAGTAGCCTATACCCCACTGGTTAGTATACTCACCAGTGAGGTGGGGGACCTGGTTCAAGGCCCTGCACCACATCAGGCAGAGTTGGGATTTGAACCTGGGTTTCCCACTTCTCAGATGAGTGCTCTACCCACTGGGCTATTTGATATCCGTGATGCAGTGGAAGAACCATCACAATTTTTCATAAGAAAGGGCTGGCTTAGGTGCCTCTGCTCAGGATTCTCCCTCTCCAGTCAGGCTCCTAACTCCTTTTGGGGTGTGGGACTTCGGCAGCTTCCCGCTCAGTGTCTTGGCTTCTGTGAATCCCTTGCCTAGGCGCCTACCTCTTTCCATGCGTTGCACAGGGACCCTGGGTGCCTAACTCACAGTTGTGAATTCCTCTAGGCAGCAGGGTGCCTAAAAGTTAGGAGTTGCAACTCCCAGCGTCTACGGCGATGTCTGCACTGTGCACCTTACAACGGCGCAGCTGGGCCATTGTAGGGTAAGCGGTGTAGCCACTCTTTGTCACCAGGAGAGAGCTCTCCCGGCAACACAATAAGACACCCCACCCCCCCCCAGCAAGGGGCAGTAGCTTCGTCGACAGGAGAATGGCTCCTGCCAACGAAGCGCTATCCACACCAGCGCTTTTTGTCGTTAAAACTTTTGTCATTCAAGGGGGTGTTTTTCCACCCCAATTACTAAGCCTAGCTAGTTTAAAGCTTTAATAAGAGAATTTTAGGACACTATATCACCAACTTAATCAAGCATAAGTAAAACAGATAGAGCAGGATAGAGTAACAATCAGTCCTGGGGTATGGGTAGGCTGTTTTTGTCATCATCAGGTCCATGCTGGTCTATCTCATGGGGTCCTGCTTGGCTCCTCCTCCTCCAGCCCCCTTTGTTGTACACACGTCCTTTATACCTAGTCTCGTAATATCAAGCAGACACACATGATTAAAACTACCTTATTTATAACCATTCGAGTCTCAATATATTTAATACACATATAATAACTAACCCCAAATCCTTCTAACTCATCCATTTTTATTTATCCTGCTAAAACTCTGATTGGTACCTCCTTATCTATCTTTTATAACGAGCTGTCTTTTTATTGCTTTCACCCATTCCATTATTTCTTAAAACAGTTGTCTTTTTCATACTTGTCTGCATCATGTGGCCTTGGTTGGCTAGTCCTGTCCAGTCAGTATCCATCCTCCCTAGTCTGTCTTACTAAGGAGAGCTGCATCTGGCTAATAAATCACACATTTGTCAGGTGTGCTTGGCCCTGTTATCTACACCGACCAAAAATCGACTGTAGGTAAGACACAAACCTATAGCCTTTGAAGTTGTTTTACCAGTGTTTTGAGAGCTGTGTCAGCAAGATACTTACAGGAAGCAACAAATTCCTTGACATTTTCTTATTACTATTGAATATATAATATCTACTTCTCTGACATTATTAAATATACATTTGTCTAACACAGTTCATTATACATTTCTTGACGCTTTGTTTCCTTGTTATTCCCCTTTCCAAGAAAGTCCTGTACAAAACACAATCCCTGCAGACAGGAATTTGTAAGGGATGAGAGTTCGGTGCTGAATAGTCCATGGTACTGTATAGCCAAGGGATGGTATGTTTCAGAGAATGAAAATGACATTGATTCCAGGCTTGGGAACGTTGCCAAATCAAAGAAAGCCCTGCAGCCTTTGCTGATGCTTCTAGGAGTGTCCCTGCTGCTGCCTGCGTAGAATTTTGAGAGGTGCTGCGCACCAGCAATTCCCATTGAAATCAATGGGCCCAAGTCTGCTTCCTTTGAAGTCAGTGGCCAAACTTCCCCTGGCTTAAGACAGAATGGCATCAGGCATAGTATGGATTGTAGATACGCGTCGTTTCTCAGGATTTAGGCCCGGCTCCTCCAAGGGAGTTCAGAGTTGCAACATTCAGCATTGCAGTGGGATCTACAAAGCTGAGCTAGGCTCCCTGGACCATGACTGGAGAGAGATGGGTGCTTTAAGAATGGGATCTACAAAAGCCAGCACATTAGGTGGCTCCCCGCCTAAGCTAGCTGCATGCAGACAAGATGGGTGTGTCAAAGCCCCGCCCCTCTCACGAAGTTCGGGGCCTAAATCCAGGCTGCAGAGAGGTCCCTATCTCTGCTTGCAAGCCACAGCCTGGAGCCCCTCTCCTGCAGCCAGATGACTTCGGTGCCTAAGCAGTTTCTTGTGAGAATGAGCTAGGCAGGCACCTAACTCAACCCCAAATGGGAGGCAGCGGCAGTGATGCCTCCCATATCACTTTTAGCCCAGTGGTTAAAGAACTCCCTTGGGATGTAGGAGACCTGGGTTTAATTTCCCCTTCTGGGGAGAAGGGGTTCAAACCCTACCTCTGAATAAAGCGCCCTAACCACTGGGCTATTCTGATGTGGGGCGCTCTGTGTCTCCTGTTGGAACTGTTTCACTTTGGATAAATACCTAAATAGACATCGGGGCAGAGAGAGAGAGAGAGAGAGAATGTCACTGTATTCTAGTGGTTAGAAGCACTCTCCTGGGAATGAGGAGACCGGAGTCTGGTCCCCCTGCTCCAGTGACTCTGATTTATCCCAAGTAGAACAACTTCAACAGGGGAGATTGAGGGAGAGCCACATGAGCAGATCCCATAGCCCAGTGATTAGGGCACTCACCTCAGAGGTGGGAGACCCCTGTTCAAATCCTTTTCTCTACAGCAGGCAGGGGAGGCATTGAACGTGGGTGTCCCACATTGCAGATGAGTGCACTGGGGTAAGCGTTATGATGGGGCCACCACTGCTGCCTCCTCCTCTGGCCAGATTTTGAATGGAACCCAGTCTGAAGGGCATGCTCAGAGCTCACCTACCAGATCAGGTCCCGCAGGCAAGAGAGGTGGGCAAAGCCTGTCTTCCCATGCTTTGTGGGTCACGCTGGGGTTAGGCAGGAAATAGGCATTCGTACACCTAGAGCAGCAGTTACTGAACTTTCTGCCTGCATGACCCCGTTTTCAGCCTCCCGCGAGCCCAGACAGCATGGAGGATGCCATTACCAAATGTCATCCTCTGCACAGCCTGGCCTTGCATGCACGATGCCTGCAAGGTCACTCTGTGTGGAGCAAAATGGCATCTGCACACTTGTGATTGCCACAACCCCATCTGCTGATGCCACAACTCGACTTGAGGTCATGCCCCCTAGTTGGGGAACTGCTGGCCTAGAGTCGAGGCAGCAGTGCATATCTCTGGATGCAGAAACATAGCCGCCTAGGAGACTCGCAGCAAAAATTTAGGCACCGAGTGAGGTTTAGCTGCCTACAGGATTAGGTGGCCACCAAGCAGGAGTTCTGTGAATCTCGGTGGAGCCTAAAACTAGGAGTTGTGTCCCTGTGTTTGGGATTTAGGTGCCTATGTAGATCTGGGTCTTAGTCTGTAACAGAAACTCTCCACAAGAAACCTAGACGAGGAAGGGTGTGTGTGAGAGAGAGGGTATTTCGTTCCCAAATCACTAATTTCTATATTCTGCCCCTCACTTAAAAATGTAATTTCAATGGTTGCAGTTGCTCTCTAAGCAAGCAAATCAAATGGATGCACATTAACAGTGCTTCTTGCTGTGCTAATGAGCAATTTCTCTTAATCAATGAATAGCAACCCACAAGCAGGATTCCGACTGTACATATAGCTGTAACTACAAATTACAGGGCGAATAGCAGGATGGAATGCAAGAAAAGAAAATTCAGGCTGGACATTTACGAAAATGTACTTACAATAAGGTTGATTTAACTGTGGAATAATCTCCAAAGCGAAATAGTGGGAGTGCTGTTAACTGCAGTTATTCAAAGGTAGCTTGGAAACAAAATATTACAGGGAACAAAATCATGCTTTTAACAAGATAACCTAAATTGGTTTCGTCCATTTATTTATGTGTTACATCTTTTAGCTGAAAAATAAGGATATATCAACTATATGAAGTTATGCTGGGAGTAGATGCACACAGAGATGGGGTGGCGGGGTGCACGCATGCATGTCTCATTAATGAGTCCACTGCTACATGGTCTCTTGGTAAAAATAAAAAGCAAAATTTGTTCCCTTAAATACACAGTAACAATTGTAAGAGTCCATTACCAAGTTGACTGGGGAACTTTTGTAATTCTGACCTTTACTTTTGTAAAATAACCCCTACAAATATATTCCTAGGAGGCAAACTGAAGAGAAATGAAGTGATCCCTGCATATAGGGTCTGAATCGGCACCATTGACTTTGAGTTTGATTGGGCTCAGAGGTTTTAAATCAATTTGTTTGAGTTTAAGGCTAAGGAAAATATTTCTAATAGTAAAATTATAATTTTTATAGCAAACTATAGGTATAGTAAAATGATAATTATCAAAAGCTATAGCACTAAAATGTTACATTAAAATAGTCTCTTATTATCCCATAGTAAGTTTACAATTATTAAATAAAAAATACAATTTTAAAAGTGCACTCTAGAGTTAATCCATAGTTCTTAGATTATTACTATATAGTTCTGCACTCACAGACCCCTTGTAAGAAAACCACTACGTTATCCCACAGTAATGACTCAAAACAGCTGTAGTTATGTGTTTCCTTGTAAAATGTGAAGATTTTGGTGGTCAGTGTGGAGGTAGGCATGTAGTGAATGAGAAAATGGGAGATGCTTACTGAACCCCGAGAATCAACATAAATGTTGAACATTATGCACTGAATGAGACGGGTCATGCGGAAAAAATAGTATGTTATCGTGTAATGGGGATGGATCACTTGATTACCTGTTCTGCTCATTCTCTCTGGGGTACCTGGCATTGGCCACTGTCGAAAGACAGGACACTGGGCTAGATGGACCTTTGATCTGACCCAATACGGCCATTCTTAATTAAAGAAGCAGAGGTGCCTTAGTACTAACTGTGGGGTTTCCTACCATGAGTGTTTCACTTTGCAATAGTATCTTTGGTATTTGCAGCATTTTCTATTTCCTTATACCTACTCACTTGCTATAGGGAATGGTGCAAGTGCGGCGGTGATATTTGGTTATCTAAGGCAATTGAGAAGGTTTTAAAGGGGAACTGTGTGTTCACATGTAATACATAGACATGCACATACTGTTTAACATAAAACTTAATATGTCTATATTGTCCCTTTAAGACCAGTGCATTTACTAGCCATTGACACCTTTTAGTGAAGCTGTTTTGGTGCATCCATGCTTTGATTTCTGAAAAACCTTTTTTTTCTGCAGTTACTTCAATGAGAATCAATATCCTGATGAGGCAAAGAGAGAAGAAATTGCAAATGCCTGTAATGCAGTTATACAAAAGCCAGGTAAGGACCTGATCGCACTGTTCTTTTCAAAGGAGTCTGCAATTAAATTTCAACATCTCCTGCTAAATTCAGCAAATCTCATTTTATGGCTGTTACTAACAATTTAGTGCTCTCAACCAGTAGTAAGTTTTTCCTAGAGCACTATATGGCTCGTGTCATTCAAGCTGTCGTACTTGGATGAACATGAGGGCTAATGTAGTCTTCAGACCCAAACACGTATGTCTGAAAGATACATTTCTACTAATTAAAATAGTAGAGAGCTAGAGGTGAAGTTGAGCATCAAAACATTTCATATATACAGGGTCATGTAGGGTATCCATAGGAAAGGGAATACATTTCAGAGATTTGCATTCTTTAAAGCCAATTATTTTTAGTTACTTTTACAAATATGTGCACTTCTTATCTGAGGATCTCAAAGCCCTCTACAATAGGGTGACCAGATGAGAGGAAGAAAATATTGGGACACATGGGGCGGGGGGACCCACCGGTGGAGCAAAAAAAAGAAAACGGATTGCGAAATATCGGGACAAGTTGTGTCCCGACCAATCATTGGTCGGGACACGGGACAAGCGGGATTTTATCGGGACGTCTGGTCACCCTACTCTACAAAAGTGGGTATGTGGCATTATTGTTATTACTGATCTCATTTTAAGGATGGAGAAATGTAGCCACAGAGAGGTTGTGAATTGCCTACGATCACATGGTGTATCCTTGGCAAAGTAGGGAGCCCTGGTCTCCTGACGTCCAAGCTTCTCTGTAGCTTCTAGACATGAGTCTTCCTTGTAGGTTGTGTGTGTTAAATTAGGGGACCTCATTTCCCCTCCCCCCCCCCCCCCAGCAGTTCTTCCTGCTCCTGTGAGGGTAGATGAGAAATCCTACCTGGGAATGGAGTGTGGGCATCTGGTGTAATAATGCCAAGTTTGAAGCAGTGAGCCCACCTGCCTTTGCTTAGTTGAAATAGTAGAACATACCCAAACCTTGCAGAGAACATGTTCTGCAACTTTTGTTTACAGGAATTAAAAGTAATGTAATAAACCCAAAGGTGAAATAAAGAAAAGATAGGACAAGACGTCCTAACATATGTGACAATTTTAGCATTATTGACTATAACTTAGCAGGGAGGCAGTCTAGTCTAGTGGACAGAGCACTAGACTGGGGTTCTATTCCCAGCTCTGTCGACCTGCTGGGTGACCCTGGGTAAGTCATTTCCCTGCTCTGTGCCTCAGTTTCCCCATCTGTAAAATTGAGATAATGATAGCAACCCCTTTCTAAAGCACTTTGAGATCAGCTGATGAAAAGTGCTATATAAGTTGTTGTTATTACTACTACTAGATCTTCTCTCTGCCATCCCCATATCTCACCTCTTATTAATGTTTACTAGCTTTTCTATGACACTCACTACCTGTGCACCTCCGACGCAGTAACCAAATTAGCTTCACATTATCCCTATGTATTATTCCCGTTTTACTATGGAGAATTGGGGCACGGAGAAGTGAAGTGACTTGCCCAAGGTCACACACAAATTCTGTGGCAGAGCTGTGAATTGAATCCTGGTCTCCTGAATCGGAAGAGCAGCTTTGCTCTCTATCACAGTTTAGGCCTGAGCTGGCTGTAGTTTCAAAGAAAAGCCCTGCGTTTCATTTGTGAACGGTTCTTATGTAGTTCCACTCTCTAACGCTGTCTGCTCTAAATTTCAAGGGTTTATCACATGGCAGGGATCTGCTGATCTTATATGTATGTACAAAGTGCTATCCATACCTGTGAAACCCTGTAAACAACTGTGCTTTCTACTGTATATTTTCACAGGCAAAAAGTTGTCAGATTTGGAGCGAGTTACCTCCCTTAAAGTGTACAACTGGTTTGCCAACAGAAGAAAGGAAATCAAGAGAAGAGCCAATATCGGTAATGTATCAGAGAACCTGCTTTCAGACAACCTGAAGGGCTTAAGTAGATAGGCCGGCTCAAGGGAGCTGGAGAGTATAAGATTGAATTCTATTAATGCAAATGGCTAGAAACTCCAAGCATTTTTAATAGTCAGTGGAAGCACTTTTTAAAATAAATCTTTCACCCTCTCAACGTTTCTAAACTATCATCGGGGACTCAGTTTACAAATGTCAGTCGTAGGACAGGAAAAATGATTCAGTGATCGGATGTCACTAGAGGACCTAATTTCTGTTTTAAGTCTGAATCTGATCGATATAGAAGGATTCATATTTCCCTAACACCAAATTATTGGTCCAGTCCCATTGAATGTCCCAAATGAAACAAGAGAAGCAGTGATTTCTGCACTGGGGATAGGGGAAATTCAAAATGTACTGAGTTTAAAACCTTTAAAGTGCAGTTCTACTCTGAAAAGTGCCAGGGGGAAAAGGGAAGTGATTTTTAAAAAAGGGGTCTGTAAGTTTCTTGCCTCAGTAATGTCTAACTCAAATGTACTCATTTTACAAGTCAAAATGGTGGTGTTTTTCTTACTGCCAACCCTGTAAGATTCCACTGAGATCTGAAAGTCAAGATGGGTTCTTTACATCTCAAATACCATCACCAGTACCAAGGATTCTGCAGGCCAAATTCTTCCTTCAGTTACCCCTGTGCCACCTTATTGCCGTCAGTGGGTTTGCAGAGCCATTACTGATTGGAACATAGTAAACAATTCTGTTGACAGTGCGCAAGCTGAAACGGGATACAGCTCACAAACTTAGCTGTGTTGGTTCTGCAGACTAGACAAGGTTTCGAGCTTCAGACCTGAAGAAGAGCTCTGTGTAGCTTGAAACCTTGTCTCCCTCACCAACAGAAGTTGGTCCAATAAAAGATGTTACCTCGCTCACCTTGTCTCTCTCGTATCCTGGGACCGACACGGCTACAGACACACTGCATACACAAGGGAGACCCCGTCCATTGTAGACTAGATGGGGAAGAAGGAAGGTTTGACTATTAGACATTAAGAATGGAAACAATTTGGGGGGGGCAACAGAAGTGAACACTTAACACCCACCCAAATTGTGGATAGTTGAGAGGCGGTCAAGAGTTGACCTTGCTAGTCCACTTTCTTTAAATGCCTAAAATATGGATGGTCTTTAATTCCGGTAATGCATCAGATAATTTAGGGATCCATTTGCTTTTTTCGAAGAAGCAGCAATCCTGGAGAGCCATGGCATAGATGTACAGAGTCCAGGAGGCCATTCCAATAGCGATGACGTCGATGGGAATGACTATTCAGAGCAGGTAAGAATCTGAGCTGAGCTGCGTGGTCCCAGATGGGAGACCCTGCATGTGACACTTCAGCGTCATGGGGCCTTGTACCTCTCATGAGTCAGACGTCCTTCTTTTTTTTTTCTTTCATGTAATTTTAATGGGGAAAGTGGAAGAGCACAGCTCCCCTATTGAATGTGTGAGAAACCACTATTCACCCACTTGGATTTATTGTCATACAACAGGACACTTGGCAAGTACGCAATGGGGAGGAGGAGGGAAGATGTTCAGAGGGAGGCAGAGAAGCAGAGAAGGTAGAAGAAGACAGGAGGATCTGCTCCAAACAAGCAAGTGACACCATTCACACAACACACAATGTTTGAAAAATGCTAGGACAGTGTTAACTCAAGCTACGCACCATGCTTAATTCAAGCTCTTCTTATCTCTGGCACTGGTACAGTGGTTAACCTTCAAGAAAGGATGTACAGATCTTTAACCATTTCTGCAGTGTGTTGGGCACAAACATGCTTCCCTGTGACAACAGGCACCCATGTTCTTATCCCACCTCCCCTTCTCCATCTTCCCCTGCAGAGTCAGTGGTGACTAAGTCCATTTTGGATAGATTCACTTGACATCATTGGCCTTGCTGAACAGTTCACTTAGATGGTTCTGCTTCCTTTGCTCCTTGTGTTCATGCTGCTACACCCAGGTGTCTGGGTTTTGTTGGGGTTTTCTTAATAGGCCATCCCTGGAAGGAAGTAGGAGATCTCATCACCTGGTTACTGGGAGCCCAGTATCCTGGAGTAGCTACCCCAGTAGGCTCAGCCCAAGTCCAGTGGGACATTGATTGGGTGAGAGGTGCTGGTATGCCTGCTCTGTTTCCACCATCCTTGGAGCTGCTGCTGTTTCTTTGGTGGAGGACAAAGATCCTTGTATAGACCATCTCTGGAAGTAGTTGGTGGAGCTCTGCTCCGTATGGCTGTGCAAGGTCAGAATCTCCTAAATAATTGGTGTGATATATTTTGAAACTGCAGCCAAGCACATTTAATTGCATGCCTGTCAGATAGAGGAATTGATGGCTTAGCAGATGCGTTGTTTAGAATTCCAAACCATTTCTTTCTTTCTGTATTTTTGTATTATCCAACATATTTTTGGAAAGAGAAATAATTTGCTTAATTGCATCAAAATTCTCTGTTCAGAGTCCTTAGATGTTGCAGTTCTCAATGATCTAGCCCGGACTCCACTGTAAAGGATAATTAGGCATTAAAAGTTAAATGGTCATCAGCACAGCTTTCCACAGTAATGCATTTAACACCCATTCAGCCGTTAAAACCATAACATCTGCGTTTCAGAGTATCATTCAGACTCCAGAAAACTTGAAAACATAAAGTTTATCCAATTACCATTAAAGTTAATAACATAAAGTTAATACAACTTCAGAGGGATTTTGGTTTTTTTACACTTTCTCATAGTTCACTTAATTGACTTTTAGGGTCAGGTATTCAAAAATTCTGATGTGCATGCGGGGTTTTGAACATCTGGCCCAAAATTCATGGCAAATTAAGAGATTCTGTTAAACAGCCTCAGGAGTTTACTGAAAACTGGCATTTCTGTCCCACCAGCAATCACCACCTGCCATCTTGATTTAGAAATGATATTGTTGCAAATTCATCATCATGGGCCTGATGTAATAATGACAAAAATACTTAGCATTTTTGCTCTATAAAATGCTGTAAAAATATTAACTAATTCTCCCAAGACCTCTGTAAGGTAAGTAAGTATTTTTACCCCCAGTTCAGAAAGGGGGAAGCTGACGCTTGCTTTGCCCAAGATCCCAGAAAGAGTTGGTTTTTAGATTTAGGATTAGAACTTGGTTGGGTTTAGTGGGCGGGTACGGGGTGGTGTTAGTGGTCATTGATGTACAGGAGCTCAGAATAGATGATTTGGTGTTCCCTTCTGGCCTTAAACTCTATGACTATGACTTATTCCTAGGACCCTACCAAATTCGTGGCCATGAAAAACACGTCACAGACCATGAAATCTGGTTTTTTGTGTGCTTTTACCTTATACTATACAGATTTCACAGGGGAGACCAGCGTTTCTCAAATTGGGGGTTCTGACCCAAAGGGAAGTTGCAGGGGGGTTGCAAGATTATTTTAGGGGGGGTCATGGTATTGTTATCCTTACTTCTGCTCTTCCTTCAGAGCTGGGTGGCCAGAGAGTGGCGGCTGTTGGCCGGGCGCCCAGCTCTGAAAGTGGCACCCTGCCAGCAGCAGCACAGAAGTAAGGGTGGCAATACCATACCAGGCCATCCTTACTTCTGCACTGCTGCTGGTGGCGGCTCTGCCTTCAGAGCTGGGCTCTTGGCCCGCAGCCACCGCTCTCCAGCTGCCCAGCTCTGAAGGCAATGCCGCCAGCAGCAGCAGCGCAGAAGTAAGGGAAGCAGTACCGCAACCCCTCCTACAATAACCTTGCGATCCCCCCCGAACTCCTTTTTGAGTCAGGACCCTTACAATTACACCACCATGAAATTTATGATTTAAATAGCTGAAATCATGAAATTTATGATTTTTAAAATCATATGACCATGAAATTGACCAAAATGGACCGTGAATTTGATAGGACCCTACTTATCCCTATGTAAGCGATGGCTGCTCGGTATGGCACTCTGTCCCCCTCTAGTGGTGGCTAGGCCAGCTAGAGATTGATGAGCCTGCTACAACCTTGGCTATCTGAAAAGTGTTTTTTAGCTCAGGCAGTAGAGGCTTATGCATTAAGATCAACGTGTCCCAGGTTTGATCCCCACTGAAACAAGCCACCAAAGGCTGTCAGAGTTACACCTATATTCAGACCATGCCCCCACCCTGATGTAGGCTCAGAAAACTGCACACTTCAGTGTGTATGAGGAATGAAGTCCTTCTCATTCATTGATCTTAAAACATTTCAGTGCTGAGAAAAATCTTCATTGCAGAACTATAGCAGCGAAGTTTCCCCATATTCTTCGTACTTCACAGCAGCCACACATCCTGAACAATTAAACTGTTGTCCTGTTAAAATTCAGAGGCTTCTTTTTAGTGTTTAGAAAAAAGACACATAGGAAAATATGATGACAGCCTCCAGATCTGTTGGAGGTTGCAGTGCAGGCAGCAGTATACCCCACAGTTTTTCACTATTTAATTAAATGAGATGTAGCATGTAGCAGGATGGCTGGCTAGACAGTGTGATCTGCTGTGGCAGTTCCTGCATGAGGTCATTTCACCACCTTTTTTATCTGTCTGGGACATTTTCAGCAGTTGGTTTAGTGCTGAATTGTCTATAGGTGTATCCCTATATAAAATAGAACATATGTATCTCTGTGTCACTTCTATTTCACACAAAATCACTCTTACCTTATCATTTAATATATTCCGCACTACGCTCGCGATTGGCCAGTTTTTAGCTATTGAAAATAAACGTGAATCTCCACGCCCGGCCCTGCCCATTTCCATGAACCTGTGTTTGCCCAGTGAATGACATTTTCTTTAAAGGGAATCCGTGTTTCTTTTCAACCCTACCCAGTTAGCAAAAGTGTAATTTGCGGCCCTTAGTTCACTTTAAAAACTCTTTCACTCAGACTGAATGCTCACTAATTAACAACGCTTCATCTTTTTCCTTTCTGCATACACAGGATGACAGCACTAGCCATAGTGACCACCAAGATCCCATTTCATTAGCCGTGGAAATGGCAGCAGTAAACCACACCATCTTGGCATTGGCCCGGCAAGGAACCAACGAAATCAAGACAGAGGCCCTAGACGACGACTGATACAAAGAAGGGGGAGGGTCAAAACAAGAAGTAACTTAGTTTTAGACGTAGCACCTTAGCAGACTTTCCTCGGTCCTTAATATGTGTTCTTCTTACAGTATAACTTTGCAGTTTCTTGTACGTCAGTTAGCTGTTAGGGTCTTGTTCTGTGAAGATGGCATGGTGCCCTCAGCCTTTGCATATACTCTCTCAGTATTAATTCCCAGTAAATAATCAGTCAACCAACCAACCTCCCTCTCCCAGCCCCAGTGGCTCGAAAATCTTGCTGCTTTGTCTTAGCATTCCAAGAAAGTGCTTCCAGGTATTTTAGAGAGTCCTCAGTTCCAAGTCTTAGGCTACATTTAAAATCTTGGATACCCTTAGACATCATGTAAAACTAGTCTGTACGCTTTTCCTCCTCCAAGACTGAAAGGATGGAAGCTGAGGTAAAGGCACAGGGTCGATGGACACCATATTGGGAGTATCAACAGAGAGTAAAAAGAACACTAGAAACCCCACTTCAGCCTGGGAATAAGTGATTTCCAGCTGCAATAAGCCGTGCCTCACTGGTCACACAGTGACTTGATCTATTTCTTTTGGGTACTGCGCTGAGAATGTCCATGGGAAACATATTCACACATTTCGGTTGATGTCACATTCAACACAGACATTCTCTGCTCTCACAAGCTGCATGGCTTAGTGGATAAAATACTGCCTTCTGCCTCTGGGACCATGATAGAAGCCCAGCCTGGGATCACATGAAAAATGAGCTGAATGTCTAATGGACGGCAGTCCACTTCTCAAAACCACTATTCATTATTTGGCAGGCCTAGCAGTGCCTGCTCCGAAGAGGTCGAGACTCGATCGATCTATCATAGAAGTTGCGTTACCTTTTGTTCTTCCTCTCACCTTTTCCCCCCTCCAGCCCCTCTCAAAAGCAATGTTTTCAAAAAAGGGATTAAGATAATAAATGGGTGAGTTTGTACAAGTCTGTGTAACTACTGCCTGCAATCCTAACAGGCCTGAAAGGTTATTGGAGGACTTTGGTATCTAGTTTCTGCTAGTTATCAACATGGCATAAATATTCACCCAAATATGAACACTTCTTAAAAGGCAGGAAGATCTCCTCCTTGAGATATAGTGTGTAATGCTTTTGTGTTCTCTTTACTCTGTCCTTGTTATGGTGTGAGAAAGCTATACTGCTACAGACAATTTAATTAATAATGGGAAGCCATATTGATAATGGATGTGGTAATATTTGTAAAGCAAACCTACTTTAAGTAGCAGAAACTAACGGAATTGTTTTTCCTTGATCATATGTAGCACTTTTGTTACTTTTTTCTTAAAGATATTTATATTTGATAAATCTTTTTTTTATCATTTGAGAATTCAAAATACCAAACGACAAACTTGCATTACAGAGTCACCCTGTGATCACCTTGTCATCTAGTATCTAAATGATGAACTGTGTATGCATCTAAGAAAATTACATCTGCTGGCATTGTGTGGAAGTGATCTCTGGCATCCTGATAAAAGTGATATGTCACTGCCGGTAAGAGGAAACTGTTCACTGGAAGCAGCATAGGATGCGTTAGAGACGGGCTAGGCTGCATTATATCTTTGAAAAAATTAATGCATTTACATAGCATTTCCACTACATTCCATGTTATCCTCCCTGCTGTACGGAAATAGTTTCAGAGGGAAGATGGCTTAGTTTTGAAGCATGGCTTTCCTTTGTCTTTTGTTCATTTTTAAAGGTGAAGGGACGTTACTATGACTTGTTTTGTTTTTATTCCTTCCCCTCTCCTCCTCCCCCAGCTTTGCAAGATGTTTGCAACTTGAAACCATCAGATATAATTGCAAGCACTTAGAAAAAGAAAGAGAGAAAAAAAGATGAAATTGTGGCACATCAGCAGGTTTTTAGCCAGCCTTAAACCCCCTTAAGGTAAAGACTAACTAGATCATCTTTATGTCTGCTAATCCGGTGAAAGCTGTTTAGGTAGATGTGGGAGATTCTGTGCTTACAGAGGGCACAGAGTTGGCACCTCTTTGTCCCTGTGACTTTGAAGATATATAGGCAGGGCTTGGCCCTGTCGTTCATTTATGGATTTCATTGGAAAATGTATGTGCTTTCTTTAGCAGTAGATCACTGAAGCAGAATGGAGCTGTCTTTTTCTGTTTTATTGTATTTCTTGAGTAGGCAAATTCATGAATAGCGTCAGGATAGACTCAGGAAAGAACAAAATTGGTTCAGTCACATTGCAGTGTTCTTTCTTTGTGTGTGTGAGTGTGTGTGTGTGACTCTTTCGGTACTAGCGAGCAAAGGGCGGGGGGGAGGGAGGGAATGTTTTTGCACCGCAGGATGATCCAGCAAACTGTAGCTTCAGTGGAATTTTACCTACTTATTCATACTACAGTCACACACAGAGCTGACAAGAAACCACCGCGATTTATTGCAAGGAGATTTTAATAATCGATGGCCTCTTTATGCTGGTTTGCCACCAGGGTTTGTTCTAGCTGTTCCATTTTAAAGAATCGAATCAGACTGATAGACAGCTGCACCTACAAAATAAATATTGCTTCTATTTTTACCTTAAAAAAGTCATTCTTTGAAACAAACATCTATTTAGAGAATTAAGGAAGAATAACACCAATACAGTAAAGGCCAGATCCTGATCTCTGCTGCACTGGTGTAAATCTGAAATAACTCCACTAAAAAGAATGGATTTACACCCCTGTATAGGAGAGAATCTGGCCTTCCCTCTGTCTAGCACAGTCTTACAGCTCCTGTGTCCCATAACGCATCAAAAAGAATAAGCAGATGAACAACTTGTGTATAATTAGCGACCAGTGGGTCTTCTGTCCTAAATTGCAGCTTGCTGGTAAGCAGCAGTCTTCGCCCCGCCAGAGGAAGATCATAGACTGATTCAGTAGGTAAGAAATGCCTTAGGCGAGCCAGGTGCTACATAGTTCTGTTTATCTCCCTTCATCTGCATTCTATTTGGTCTCTGTACGGCCCCCCAGAAGATATGATCAAGGAATCTGACCTTAGCCATCCTCAATATCCTGATGACAGTGAGCTCTCTAGCTCCCTCCTTAGCCCGCTGTGGACTGTTTCTTGATTGACAGACACTTGTTTTGATGGGGGTAGCCGGTCTAGGCTCTCATTAGATAACTCTCAGCTACTGCGTTGAGGGAAACCTTTTCAAGACATTTTGGAATGGCTTCTGCAGCCTTGTCGTTCAGGGCGAGGACAATGCTGGTGAGACATTGCTGGAAATTAAGGTTTGTTCTGGGTCACTCCCTCAACAAGCTGAGCCCGTCCTTCTGAGGCTATTTCCATCTCTGCATTTTCTGTCAAATCAGGCTTTTCTCTGCAGTGCTGCAGTTCAGAACTTGTTACGGACATTCATATCTTCTTCGCTTCCAGGCTAAATTATTGTGCAGCACTCCCACTTGGGTTCTGCTCGAAACTGATCTAAAAGCTGAATTGGTTACAGGATGGTTACCGACCCCTTCCATGGATGGAGTTTGAAGAATCGATGATTCCTTCCTTCCAGGTTGCTGTTACACCAATAAATTCAATCCAGATTGTTATCTCATGGCTCATAATACTTTAGCCAGCGTTTTTTGCCATCATCCAGAGCAGGAGAGGTTGGCTTGGTATCTATCCCTAGATATGATTGGAGCTTGTGGGAGTCCAGTGCAGTACAGGACTCCATCCATGGAGTTCCCTTCTCTGAGGACGTTCCCCAGAGTTTTCCTGTGGCTGGCTCCTGACTCTGCATCAGGCCTTTCTCCTCCGATTTGTTCATCTTTGGCTATTTCATTGCTCCCCTTTTCTTTAACTCCCCTTTTTCTTTGCTCATGTAGTTCGGGCCGTGTCTTTTCCTGGACTATTATGTGTAATATATTCATTTAAATTTGGTACCGATGTCCAAATATTTTGCAACAGATGCCTTAGATAATAAGTTAACACAGCAGCAGACGGACAGCATTTTTCTTTGATGCCCTGGTGATGCAGAGACATCTTCGAAGTACTTGGAGGTGTTACAACAGTTTCACTGCTCCAATAAATGTGTTCTTACCAAGAAGGGAGTTTCTAACGTTGACCCGTGTTTTCCAGCGACTCTGTGTTGACCTAGCATGATTGTGAGTGGCGTTTGTTTGTGTTTTATTTTTACCTACTTAAAATATTCTCCTATAAGAGATGGGCCTTGTCTGCAGTCTGGATCCAGCTTTCCAAAACCGTGGGGTATTTAGATTCATAGTTTTGGTTCAGACCTATCTGTAATATAATTTGCAGTGATGACCTATTATGCTTATATGAGTCTTCATTGAATTTCTCAATAACTCTATTTTATTCCATTGACTATAGTGGAGTTTAATGGATCACTGTTTTCATAACACCCAGGCTATCTGTGTAGGTGGATGGACAGTTTTTGGGAAGAGTTTTAGCATACATTGACTGGACTTTCTACCATCTCGCTATTGTGGCTGCGAATCTTTTAGGTTTGGCATAGCTAATGAGATTATCTATAAGTGTCACTTTCGTATGCAGGCTGGCAAGATTTTTGCTATTTTACTCCTCATGTAAAGCTAGTAAAATCATAGGATATGTCTACACTTTAAGCCCAGGGTTCAAATTCAGGCTCAAGCTTTGCCCTCCTTCCGTCTACACACAAATCACTCTAATCCAGAGTTCGGACCCAGGACCCTATGGTGGTGGAGGGTCCTAGCCTGAGTCAAGCTGGGACCGAGGGGGTCAAGCCCGATTGCTTTGCAGTGTAACTGCAGACCCACTGGATTCGTGCTCTGGGAGTCTGACAAAAGTATCCCACAATCCCAACTTTCTTTGTCCTCTGGACAGTCAAGTTTGGTGAACAATCATGTTTTCCCACACTGCACCCAAACAAAGGACTAGAGCAGACACATTATGGGAGGACAGTAGGAAGTCTGGGATATGGGTGGTTGGGCTCGGGCCCACATAATACAATGTAGACACTGAAGCGCCAGGTTGGGAGTCAGGGTTCAACAATTCCTAATCTGGGGTTACAAATGAGCATAGCTGCTCAAACCCAAACCCTGAGCTTACTTTGCAGTGTAGGCATACTCCCAGTAGTGCGGCAGTTTTATAGAAGTAGAATGGCACATGATCAGCTCCTATCCGAACTGGTCAAAATCTTTTTGTCTTGCTGTCTTAAAGGGACATCAAGATTTCACTAAGATTTTCAGCTTCTCTATTAGAGTACTTTTCTATCATCACGCTGGCTTACCTCGTGCAATCGAATTAGTCTTGTCACACAGAGCTATCTGGTAATTGCAGCAGGATTCCACTGGCTGGCTGGGGTACAGTCACAGAATCATAGAAATCTAGGGCTGAAAGGGATCTTTAGAATCCCTTGCCCCATACGGAGGCAGTACCCAAGTATACCTTGACCACTCCGAAAGGTGTTTGTCTCACCTGTTTTTAAAAACCTCCAGTGACTGAGATTCCACAGCCTCCCTTGGTAACCTGTTCCAGTATCTAACTATCCTTACAGCGGGAAAGATTTTCCTAATATCTAACCTAACTCTCCCTTGCTACAGATTAAGCCCATTACTTCTTGTCCTACCTTCAGTGGACATGGCACAACTTGAAGACTGTTTTCCGGTCCCCACTCAGACAACCTTTTTCATGACTAGATGGGCACATTTTAACAACGCTGCCCCTAACTATTTAATCCAGGATTTTGATTCCCGTTGTAGCTTGAATTGAGATCCAAGTGTAGATTCCCATCTTCCTCCCTTAAGTTCATAAGTATTTGTGTCCAAGATCTGGTTTGAGTCTCTTAAGTTATATGAGGTTTGACCCCAGGAACTGGTCACTGTGATGGTGTTTGCCCTTGTGGGTTTTGAATGGAGGAAAATGCTCCATCTCATTTCCTCAAGTCAGTTCATTTCTGATGGTTGTGATGTTTGCTAGAATGTACGTTTCTGTCCCCTAACCAGGACATTGTGAATTTAGTATTGCTTACTCTTCATCAGCTAAGTAATTTATCTCTTCCTTCAGGTCACAGTTTGTGAGATTGTGACCAAGAAACTTTGGGTTTCTCATCAGAAGAAACTCCCTTGCTCATATTGAGTAAAGGGCTTCATTTCCCAGTAGCTGTTGCCCTCTGCAGTGCAATTTTTTTCATTAACAATATTATTTGCTTACAATCTTCACACGTTTTTAGGTAATAATTTTTTGATTTAGTTTAGCAATTTTCGCTCTTGACGTGGGTCTGTGTTGGCAGGTTGTATCTTGAAAAATGAGTTATGTGTCACAACCAAAATGTATTCATTGTTGTGGGTATAGGACTTTTTCTGTTTTTTAATGCCCTCCAGCTGAATTCATTGGGGCTGCATAGACACTAGCTAACTTTTGCAGTTTTACTGAGCCAAGACACACTCATTATCATTCCCTTGAACGGAAGGCGAGTGCACTGATCAGGAGTACCAAGGAGATGGATTGCAGATGTATTTCCAAATAAAGCATTCCTTTCTGTGCTTTTTTTTAATAGCTAGGATATTTACTCAGGATTTTGAATCAGTTGTTGGCCAACACAGTTTTGGCAAACTGAAAAGCATGACCAGAAACCCCTGTCTCTTAGTTTCATTTAGCATTGTCTAATTTACAGTAGCTATATTGTCCAATTAAAGATATTCCATGCTAATGAAAAAAGAGGTGGCAGCTACAAATTAGAATTTCAGATAAACCAAATTTATTTTTCTCTCTTGAGAGAAATGCATTAGAGGATTGGGTTTGGTCATCGAAGGACTTTAAGCAGATGTGACAGTGTTTTAAACGTAGTTTTCTACACAGCAAAAAAGGTATTATCAATGGGGCTATAGTCCTTAAGCGTCTTCTCTGTCATCCTCTTGTGTGGAAATACATGTCGTACTCTAATTTGTGTTACTGAGGAAAAATAACCAAATATATTTGATTTCTTCAGGATTTCTCTTACCCAGTCTAACTAGAATGTTCTTAGAGTGCTCGTTGCTAATGTATCTAAGGGCTAAATCATGCTGACAAATTGAGAAGTGGGTTTAGAGAGAAATATGGCTATTCACTTTTGTGCCCCTTGTCAAGATTGGCGGTTGAGTTTGTTTTCATCAGTCTGAACAATAACAATCCATGGATAATACACAGCTTTTCTCTTTGCAGTTCTTTCCAGTAATCATTGAAGCACTCAGGCCAGGGGTTTAGATGCTACAGAGTAGGTGTGAGTG